CATTTTATCTAAATTACAGCAGAATGAATTCTTCAAACAACATTCATAGATGAAAATCTCACAGATCTGCAGTGTTCATTTCAAAGGTAACTGGAATTAGAGTTAAAATCCTGGTTGTCAAGCATGAAAAACCTTTCATAATTAACTACTTCTTTAAACTCTAAAAAACTAACCTATTAGCAAGAAAACTCACATTAGGTATCTGTTTTTAAACATTTTTTTAGAGAAAAGATACTGCCATTTTCTCCATTTCTACGACTACCTGCAGGACTTACTGCGCACTGACTGTAACTAGGGCTCGGCTGTGGAGTTTGGAAGCCTACGTCCGCAATGAAGAAAAGATGCTCAAACATCCTCATGAAGGTCACAGCAAGAGTGTGATAAAACTCACTGCATCATCGCCTTCCCTTGTTTTACAACATCCTTTAGAAAGTCAAGACATTCTAGTTCTCCTTGTTTTCCGATGCTGAACACCAAGGCCAGGATAAAGTGTCAAGAACTGCCTTGGTGGTCCCCGAGGCTCTGAAGAGCCGCCAGGTCACGTTTCCTGCTGCACCCCTGTACTCCCAGGCCTGGCACTGCCGATTCTGGGCCTCCTGCTCAGAGCTGCTGCTCCAGACACCTGCCAGCAGCCAGGGGTCGCCGGCGGTGCCAAATGACCAGGTGTGTCGGAGGTAATGTCCCAGACACTCCTTTTGTTTAAATGTTAGGAAATATATTTTTATTGTGGCAAAATATGCACAGTATTTATGTTAACTATCTTGTAAGTGTGTAACTCAGTGGCATTAAATACATTCACAAAGCTGTGTAACCATCACCTCTATATATATCCAAAATTTTCTCATTAACCTCAGCAAAAGCTCTGTTCCCGTTTAACAGTAGCTATCCCCACCCCCCAGCACCCACTATTCTACTTGATGTCTGAATCTGCCTGTTCTGGGCGCCTCCTGTCCGTGGACCCACACAGTACTTGTCCTTTTGTGACCGGCTTATATCACTCAGCATAAAGTCTTTACAGTTCGTCCATGTTGCAGCATGTGCCGGAATTCCCATGCTTTCTAAGGCTGAATAATATTCCATTGCATGGATAGCCATGTTTAATGTATCCGCTCACTCACAGACAGACGTTTGTGTGCGTTCTCCTTTTGGCCACTGTGAATAATGCTGCTAGGAACACTGGTGTATAAACATCTATTCAAGATCCTGCTTTCAATTTTGGGGGGTATGTCCTTAGGGGTAGAATTACTGGGCCACATGGGAATTCTATGCTTCACGTTTTCAGGAACCCCCAGAAGTGTCCCACAGTAGCTGCTCCATGTCACATTCCCACCAGCAACGCACAGGGTTCCAATTTCTCCATGTCCTCACCAACGCTTATCATAAACGTTACCAAATATACTTATATTCAAGGCCCTGAACGGCACAGACCAGAATTCAACAACTGTTTCACGCTTCGCTGAGCCACAACTTAACTCAGAAACAATAGTTAGAGCTGTTTACTGACATTGATGGTATTTCCTTCATGCCAGGCACTCACTTTCCTCTTCTCTAATCCTTACAAGAGCCCTCCCTGCAAATGAGACAGAGTCCATTTCTCTGTTGATGAGAGACCCGAAGCTCAAAGGCATGAGAACGACCCTTCCAGAGCCCTGTGGTAGGGAAGTCACAGGGAAGAGATGGTCTGACTCTAGGGTGTTGAACACACCTCTGGTGGTGAGATTAGTTGAGATTCTAGTTTATTAACTATAGATTTAAATTAACATGTAACAGAATAAATAAAATGAGCATAGCAAACACTTGTTCTCACTGCAATTCCTTAGGAAAAAGTTGAAGCGGGTGTTTAAAAATAAGTTGATATAAAGAAAACAAGAAGCAAGTAATGCTACAGGCAGTCCGCAAACAGGTGAACTGATCGCTGAGGGAATGACAGCTCAGGTCAAGCAAAGCAGGGATGGCTGCCAACACCTCGCTGTCCCTACTCCACCACATGCGAGGGCAGAATCAGGGCCTGTTTCTTTCTGTGTCCCCCGTCCCCAGCATCCTGCATCTGCAGGGCAGACACTTAGCAAATTGAATTCACTGCCCTTTCTTGGCCAGCCACACACCCAGGACTGAGCCCTGAGCCAGGAGGCTTTAAATCCTCGACCTGAAAAGAGGACAGCCAGACTCAGACCCAAGGAAGAGCAGCAGCCAGCCTTGGGGAGAAGGCACCGCGAGACAGCGCCATTCCCTCCACAGCGGCCAGTGCTGGGAGCTTGTGCAAAGCAGATTCCGAGACAGCAGGAGTGGGTAGGCCCAGGTGATGCTGCTAGCCCAAACGCGACTTTGAATAGGGGGGCTCTAGGCCTGCACAGATAAAACTAGTCCCAGCTCTAGTGGGATCTAGGGCTCCTGTTAACCTATTCAGAGCTCTGCCTTTAGTATACGCTAGGCCCCTCATCTGATCCCCAAATAGCCCTGGGAAGGTCTCCTCACTATAAAAAACTGATGGCCAGGTGAATACGGCTGTGTTAAACAAAACACACAACCCAGAACCTTGATGCTGGCTTAAAGCAGCTACTTTGGGTCCCATCAGTGCTCTGACCACTAAGAAGTTCACTGCTTAACTCCTGGAGTATTCCAAGATATTTCCCATTACAAGCAGCACGTGGCTGCGTCTGGTATACGGGGTTCCTACTGCATGAAGCACGTGCCTGCGTCTAATGCCTGCGTCTGCTATACGGGGTTCCCATCACAGGAAGCACATGGCTGCAGCTGGCTGCGTCTGGTATATGAGGTTCCCATCATGGGAAGCATGTGCCTGCATCTGGCATACTGGTTTCATTTATCTTCCTGCCCTTATTCTGTATCTAAATCCATCATCTATTTCTTATGAATTGTTATTTTCAAGAATATGTACACTTCTAACAACTTCCTAAAATTCTTTCTTGACACATATCTGTTACAGATCAATAAAATTACTAAACTAACTGAAATAACCAGCAAGCCCCTGATTCATGACAGAGCTTTAGATCTGTCAGCCATAATTTCCAACAGAGCCAATACAGTATCCATTCTCATCAATTCCAACGTTTTCCCCAAGACACGTGGTTCCTATCATATTTGTCATCCACCAAAACCCTTCCTCAAGGGCACCTGCAGGCCCTCAACGCATTCCCACCATCAGGTGTGGCTCTGCAGCGATTCAGTCCTCCCAGCTGTTCGACATCTTCCAGCATCACGTGTCATTCCAGCGTTTTCCCCAACGTGTGTGATTTCCTACAAAACCACATATTTCTCACAACTATGTTACAGTTTAGCCTCTACAAAATACCCAATCATATTCTCCAAAGGGTCATCTCTGTGGTGCATCCCATGAACATTTCCTTTCCTTAGATGCCCCCACCTGGCAACTCCTGGTGTCCTGGTACTGGTGTTCTCCCGAGGAGACAGGGAACAGGACTCGTCAGGCAGAGGACAGCGCCCTGAAGGAAGAACTCGGGCTGCTCCAGGACCCCAGCTGGACACTGTGCATCCTAGCACAGCAACCTCACCATGCTCCCACCTCCAATCTGGCGTTAGGGCCCTCCAACCCTGACCCCAGGATTCTGCCCGGCACTGGGAAACAGCCCCCAGGTGGGTGCCTCAAGCCTCTGCTGCTCTTCCTTTCATTCTGGTGCCGCAGCTGAGAGCTGACAATGTGCTAGCAGCCCTCACTCTCAGCGCCTCCTCGGCCTCAGCGTCCACTCTGGCAGCGCTTAAGGAGCCCTTCAGCCCACCACAGCACCGTAGGAGCCCCTCCCTCTGCTTTCAGAAAGGTGTGGAGGGCGAGGTGAGTTTCGACAGGCCCCGCACACACAGAGGCCGGCGGGCACCACCGCCCGGGCAGTGAGGGGCTTAGCACGTGGGCCAGCAGCTGTGGAGGTTGCCTGGGTCCCCCAGCAGTGCCGGCCCGCTGGTGCCGCACTCAATTCTCGCCGGGCCTTAGCTGCTTCCCCGTACGGCAGGGTTCGGGACCTGCAGCCCGCCATGTCTGAGCTCCTCCCACTGCGGTGGGCTTTCGCGCAGCCTCAGCCTCCCCGACAGGTGCCACCCCCTGCTCCCTGGCGCCCAGGCCTATGGACAGCCCAAGGGCTGAGGAGTGCAGGCGCGGCTCAGGACTGGCGGGCGGGCAGCTCCGCCTACAGCCCTGGTGCAGGATCCACTGGGTGAAGCCAGCAGGGCTCCTGAACTGGATGGGGACTTGGAGAACTTTTATATCTAGCTGGAGGATGGTAGGGGCACCAATCAGCACTGTGTCTAGCTCAGGGTTTGTGAATACACCAATTGGTACTCTGTATCTAGCTAACCTAGTGGAGACCTGGAGGACTAGCACTCTGTGACTCTGTGTCTAGCTCAAGGATTGTAAATGCACCAATCAGCACTCTGTGTCTAGCTCAAGGTTTGTAAATACACCAATCAGTACTCTGTGTCTAGCTCAAAGTTTATAAAAGCACCAACTGGTACTCTGTATCTAGCTAACTCTATATCTAGCTAACTAGCACTCTCTGACTCTGTGTCTAGCTCAAGGATTGTAAAAGCACCAATCAGCTCTCTGTAAAATGGACCAATCAGCAGGATGTGGGTGGGGCAGAGAAGGGAAAAAAAGCAGAATGCCTGAGCCAGCAGTGGCAACCCGCTAGGGTCCCCTTCCACACTGTGGAAGCTTTGTTCTTTCACTCTTTGCAATAAACCTTGCTGCTGCTCACTCTTTGGGTCCACGCTGCCTTTATAAGCTGTAACACTCACCATGAAGGTCTGCAGTTTCACTCCTGAAGCCAGTGAGACCAAAAACCCACTAGGAAGAATGAACAACTCCAGACGCGCTGCCTTTAAGAGCTGTAACACTCACCATGAAGGTCTGCAGCTTCACTCCTGACAGCGAGACCATGAACCCACCAGAAGGAAGAAGCTCCAGACACATCTGAACATCTGAAGGAACAAACTCTGGACACACCATCTTTAAGAACTGTAACACTCACCACGAGGGTCCGCGGCTTCATTCTTGAAGTCAGTGAGACCAAGAACCCACCAATTCCAGACACAGAGCCACTTGGTGTCATCCAATTCATGGGACTTTTCTCAAAAGCTGGTGGACAGGAGACGCTTTTTAAAACCCAGAAGTTAGATTTAGTTTTTAAAAAAATTACATATATAGATTTAAATGGACCAAGCAACTCCATATCCCAGAATCCCATGAAAAAGCTAATTTGACATCACTTAGAGAAATAAATTGGCAGAACAGAATTACTTGTCTAAAGTCACCTCTGGTTAAACTGGAAAATACACGTAACCGCAGCACGTCTTTCTTAGTCATCCTACACTAGAATTTTAACTCAAGATTTAGGAATTCTTTCAATTCTAAACAACTTGGAACTACAAAATAATTACCATTACTGCAAACTATTTTCTACTTGAAAAAAAACCACCTTTTTCTATAGAAAGGGCACAAGGACACAAGGAAATCCAAATGTGCCAGGCACACACAGAGAAGGAGCCCAACTACACTAATGCGCGGAGGAACCGTGTGCAGGGCCTGGCGTGTGCTGGGCGTGGAAGGTGCAATCCTGCATGTGGTCTCAAGGGGCGGGACTATTGTGGGCATCCTGTGAACGGTGGCAGTGCTCTATGCAAACGCAATAAAAATAAAACCATCATGAAAGGAAACGTCATCCTACACCTTACAGCAATATAGATTCCAGGCACTTCTGAGTAGCAATAATAAACATCTCATGCAGCTAAAAGGGAAAATTTCAACCCAAAAGAAAAACACACAGAAAACCCTGGTGGAGCCAGGTGATGGCAAGGGCTCTTGGCTTCACCTGGAAATGACGCAACTGCTCCTGAAAGTCACAGCCCAGCAGAAAAGAGCTGCTTCCTTCAAATAACTGCCAAGTTATTTGATCTTACTGAATTTCATTTATTTCTTTCAAATAAGTGATTAGCAATATCCACAAACCTTCATGACAGAAAATACTACCTTTGCTTTTTTTTTTTCAATCAAGTAAGCAACCTGACCTGAGCTGTTTATTTAGTGAGGTTTTCCAAATTAACTAAATCTGGCCAGGCCTGGTGGCTCATGCCTGTAATCCCAGCACTTTGGGAGGCCGAGGTGGGCGGATCACCTGAGATCAGGAGCTCAAGACCAGCCTGGCCAACATGGTGAAACCATGTCTCTACTACAAATACAAAAAACCTGCCGGGCGTGTGGCGGGCGCCTATAATCCCAGCCACCTGGGAGGCTGAAGCAGGAGAATCACTTGAACCCAGGAGGCAGAGGTTGCAGTAAGCCGAGATCGCGCCACTGCACTCTAGCCTGGACAACAAGAGCAAAACTCCGTCTCAAAAAACAGAAAAAGAAAAAGAAAAATTAAATCTGTTGTATATCAGAGAGGTCAGCACCCACTTACCTTGATGTACTCCACCTTCAACTTCTAAGTGTAAAACCAGTTTTCTCAATTGACAAACACACTGTTTTTCAACTTCTTTCTCTTTTTCCAGCCCTACGACTCTTCTCTTCCTCCTTCCCCTACCAACCCCTGGTACACACCACCTTCATCCACACCTTCTAGGACCTGCCAGGTGTCGCCAGGTATGTGAAAGCTATCTCCATGGCGGCTTCCAGGAGGGCTGAAGGGGTGTGGCCATCAGAACCACCTGCAAGGGGGCTTTTTACTCCGCAACAGGGCTGGCCCTGCCCCGCTGCATCTGTCTACCTATGGGCTAGGATCCATAGGCTGAGAACTGCTACTGGGCTGCACCAGAGGTCCCTAAGAACAAGGGAGCCCCGCCTAAGAGAGAAAACTAACTTGGTGAGAGCAGGAAATGGGAGATTCCTCAAAAACAAAAACGTCACAGAATAAAGGACGTCACCTCCCTGCAAAGGACCTAGTATCCCACCCAGAGTTTAGTGGCTTGGTCCATGTTTTATCTGGGATTCAAACTCTGTAAACCTGTGGCAGAATGAGAACAAAAGCTTTCGGCTTGTTTGCTAGCTGCTGAAGTTTAACAGCTAAAACATATTGAAAGCAGATCCATATTTATTTTGGGAGGCTGAAAGGTTTCTCCGTCTCACAAGTAACTAATACAATCAAAGCCCTGGCAAACACAGCAGCGCGCGAAGAAATACAGCGTGAGGCTGGACAATAAAAAGTTGCACAGAATCCATTTGTCATTTTGGCCCACTCACCAGAGGCTCTGCAAGCCTGCTTCCCACAGCTCAGCTCATAAATCCCCATCTCAGGCCCACTCTCAGGACATTCCTCCCCCAGTGTCGGAACTAGGACTTCCTATATACCGCAGAGCTCACTTCTGGGCACCCCTGTCTCCTCTGTGGACAGGGACTGAAAACCAGATCTCCTCCAGCAGGGCCATTGCTCCCCAGGGGACCCTGGCCCTGGCTCCGCAGCCTGCTCTGATGCCGTAGGATGGCTGTGCACCAGGCAGTCCGCACCAAACTGGGAAATGTCTGTGTGCCATCGGACAAGACCACTGCCGTGTCTCCAGGCCACCCTGGCCCAAGAGGCCTCGTCCTCCATCTACATGCTCCAGAGGGGAGCTTCACATCCGTCTGGAAGCCAAACCCAAGGATGTGGGATAAGTGCAGAGGCTGCAGCACCATGCACGCCACCCTGGAGAGGCTGGCTCCAGCATCACCTGCCTGACAGCTCACAGACACCCTTCAACACTACACCAGCCCTATCTCACCTGGTCCTCATGGGTACAGCTTCACCTAGCTCTCCACTGTAGCCTGGCAAAGGATCATAACACAGCACTGGAACCCCCCTTTAGAGACAGGGAAACTGAGGTTTGGGGATCTTGAGTAACCTGGTCGTGGACACACGGCCCCTAAGTGGCAGAGTGAAGACTGGGATCCTATCCAGTATGGGTTCAGGGCCCACAGCCTTGACTGTATTGTGTTGATCTCAAAGAAACCCAGAGAAGATGCCCTGAAGACAACATCCAAATCCAAGGACTAAGAAAAGCTTCACAGGAGGAGCAGCTTAGAACAATGGTTAGGAGTTCAAAGGGGGTAGATTAAGAAGGTATTGGTACGTTGAAAAAACAGAGTGTGCAAAGGCAGAGAAAAGAAAACTGTGATGTAGTTGTACAAAAGGCAAGTGGACTCTTCTGGATAGAGCGGATTATAGGAAGGTGAGACAGGAGGACCAGGGTAGGGTGTCTGGGGCTTTGAAAGCAGTCCGAGGGCTCAGGACTTGGACATCTACAACAGCAGCAAGGCAGCCACCAGTGCTGGGCATGAGCATCAATGCCCACTGGATGCCTGGAGAACAACCTGGAGCCAGTGAGATGACTGAACGGCTATTTCACCAGCCCTAAGGATGTGGCTGCAAGGGGAGGTGTGGGACGCTTGGAAACCCCACAGAAATGGAAAACTCTTTTGCTGTGGGGTGAAAGACACAAGAGAAGAAGGAGTCCAAGATGGCACCAAGAGAATCCTGACAAAGAGGATGGGATGCCACGGATGAACCAAGTGTAGGCAGGGAAATCTGGGGTGGGGCCAGGGACCAGTTGGGCTTTAAACAAGTTCTACAGAGACCAGTGAACTGTCTCAACCACGACAGCACCGACCCTGCAGGAAGGAGAATTCCTCCTTATTGCGGGGCTAGCCCATGTGTTGTGGGACGTTCACTGGCATCCCTGGTCTCCACCCACTGGATGCCGGCAGCACCCCCTCAGTTGCAACAAGCACAAATGTCTACCATGACAGTTCCCCTGGGGAACAAAACTGCCCCCAGTTGAGAACCACTGGCCTAGTGAGGAAATGCTGCAAAAAAAAAAAAAAAAAAAATAGCAACTGCAAATGAGAGACCACTCTGCAGGTCTCAGCTCGTGGCCATCTAAGCAATTCACGAAGCCCGTTGGTGTGCTCAGCACCTGACCGATGGGATCAAACTACACCAGGGACAAGCACAATCCCCTGAGGCTTCACACTGCTCTCATGAATAATGCGCAATCTCTCAAATAGGATGCCCAGTATAATCACAGAACCAGGCAAACATGGAAGTCAGACACCACGAGCAAGAACAAGCCAAAAAACTTCCTTAGCTTGTTCTTGAACTTTAATTTCCTTTGAAACTTTACAAAAGCTGTCTACCGTCTTGGGAAAATTATGTCACCAATATCCATGCTGACCAGATGACGAATGTCCAATACACAAGCAAAGACTTGAGATACTGGATGTATCAGATACACACAGAAAGTAACTCAACCATTTTTAAAGAAGGAAAAGTCCAGCTTGCTCACAAAGAACCCCCATGTAGCTGAGCTCCATAATTTTATGACCCCTAAAATTCAGCCTGAAGTCAAAATGTTGGAAGAAATGGAATCTCAGTTTTTACTTTATATATTTATCACATAATATTAAAATACACAGATTATTTGATATGTTGTCAGTCCTCTATTTCAACATGTAATTTCACACTAGGCTAATCATAAAGCCTGTATCATACTTGCATTTTTACAAACCAAGAGTCAAAGTAAGCTATGATAATAATATACAGTTTATCAATAGCCTAGAAAATAAAAGCGGGGTTGGGGGACTAAAAGAGATATTTATCTACCACACAATCTTGTTTCACTTCAATTTTCTCAATTCCACTTATTATTTCTGGAAAAAATCTCACTAGTTATATTTTTCCTGGGCAATTCTTTCCCAATACTTCATTCTCCTTGGGAAAACAGCAGACCAGTGCTGTACTCCCAAAGTCAACAGGCGGAAACACACACACTGCAATTTTAAGTCTATAACACTTTCCAAACGTGGCCTTAGTTTCCAAAACTTCATCTTTGTTAGATATCCTACGAGTCACTAATACTAAAAACTTTATTACCAAGTCAGAAAAAAAACCCTACCACATTGACACAAACCTAGGCTAGACAAAATCAGGTTCCAAAGGTGGTGGAGGGCACTACGGTACAATCAATTACCAAGGACTCAAGGACTCTCAGCTTTGATGACATTTCTCTCCCCACGCATTTGGAGATGGATCCCCAGGCAACAGTGGGAACCAACACCTCAGGCTTCCCATGGTGGTGTCGGAGGTGGCGCAGGCTCTCTGAGCAGGA